CAAAACCCTAAACGGAATACTGACACAATGCTTTGCAGAGAGGTTCACGATATCTCGGCCGGCTGCGTGGAGGTGATCTCTGTTTTTATCTCAGGCCTAGGAGGGTTTAGGACGAAGGGTCCAGGAGTTCAGGGTTTAGGATTGTCGAGGAATTGAGAGGCTAGCGCGGCTACGGTTAAGGGCTGTGAGGCTTGGATATTTTGGATTTCGGGTTACAGGTTGTGAAAGAAAACGATTGGAGTATGTTTTAAGGGGATATCCAGCTTTCTGGCGTTTGTCGGACAAGAGCAGGAGGCTCCAGGTACCTGACACTAAAATGGTATTGGACTAAAGCGTAGGTGTTATGTCCTGTGGAATAAGTCCTCCGACCCTCCAGGTACAGGTCGCAAAGGCCTCCAAGCGGGTTTCTTTGCTTGACAGTTCTTGTCGAGTTTGTTGTCAGGGTTCCAGTCTGTGCAAATTATAGCGAGGTCAGCGACGAGGTCAGTTCAGAATTACGACAATTAGCCACCTGACCAGGCCAAACAAATAGTTAATTTCGGGTTCCAAAACGCTCTTCCTCGTACGTAGAAGGGCATCTATTTTCGGTTTGGAGAGCCGCTAATTCGGCCAAATCCGCCCATTCACCTTTGATGCACAGTTTTGGTACAAGCTGGAACGTGGGGCAGTGCTGAATTCCGGCTGGGCTAGGGCTGGCTGGGGAATCTTGCGAATTAGGCGCTAATTTGCTGAAATTCCGGGAGGGGCAGGGGAAGGCGCAAATCGTGCGAATTAGAGGCTGAATTCCAGGGGTCCAGGCATCTTTTTGCAAAGTTAAGCGTCCGAGGGGCGAAGTGGACAGGTTTTTGGTGCCGTGGTGTTGCTCAATCAAAAGCATAAGCCATTTGGAGCTGCCAATCTCGTCGCCCTGTGGTCGACCTGCTTTTCAAGTTAAATACCCTGTAGGACCTATAATTCCGGTTGTTGTGCTTGGAGTCGCATTGGATGCGCTCGGGCTTGTTATAAGTGTGTGGCTGTAGTGCAGGCGGTCCTGCATTGACCACGGCAATGGCCAGCGATCCTTCGAGCTGCCGCATAAGATTGTGGATGGCCGCGTCCATGCCCCTGTTCTGCATTTATCGGCTGATCAGGCTGCTGGAGGCTTCCAGGGCCTGAATTGGCTTGTGCACGGATTGCAACTTCGAGCCACGCACTGCTGGGATCTCTTCCACAGAATCCATAACGACTGGATTGACGCCCTTCAAGAGTCCGGTTTACTGCTCATCAGACTGGAGTACAGAAATGTGGTCAAACTACGGCATGGCCCGTACAAAGGCCAAGGCAACCATGAAGTTTTACGCAGTGCGGCTGCCGAGTTTTTCGAATGCTGCTCACATGAAAATGTGCTGTTCCAGTTGCTTGGTTCCCGATTCATAATAAAACGGTTGTGTTGCGAGATCTGTAGACTGTAGAAGTTGATGAGCAGGTTTCTCTTCCTGTCCTGTGGTGCTTGCAGTGGCCAGAAGCCACGTCTTTGCGTTTCTGACGTGCAAGGTTGCTCTACGATGACATCGTTCAGGCCAGTGAGCACCTGCGATCCATGCCAAACATTGGGACGGACGAGCACATGCAGTACGTGTGGGAGTGGGCTCGACGGCAGCATGCCGGACGCTCTTGTGGTTCCGATCCGAAGAGGTCCAGATGGTGGCAGTTCGAGACAGCCAGCGCCGCCGCAATCGATTTTCGTTACTTGGACCTCCTGGTCTTGGTGTGGCTTGGGTGCAGAAGAAAGTGGTGGAAGACTACCGACAATCCACTCCTGAGTATCTCGGGCCTTGATTTGGAAAAAATTTCCATGAGCAGGTTTATTCCACTGTCGTTTCCGATGTGGAAAGTCGTCTTGTATTGCCCCCCCCATCAACCGAGACATGGTTGGGGAAGATGTTCAAGAAGATGCGGCAGAGCCGCTGCCGGGAGAGCCAGAGGCCTCTGCAGACGCAGGTGCTGCAGGTGCGCTGCCGCGCCATGTCATGATGTTCTTAGTTCTGCTGAGCTCTAGGGTGTCTCATGTGGTGTGTTGTAAATACATGATAAATTTCAGGGGCGAAGAGGACAACGCGAACAGGGTCATCAGGGAGGTTTGTTCAGAGAGCCCAGGGGCTCGAGACCAGGCCCTAAACCTATAGTTCTCACGTTGAGCACTGAGAGTCCCCCCCCCTCCGTCCCACCCTCCAGGTATAGTCAAGGTCGTCAAGGGCACAGGGATCCCCAGTCCCCCGATTCATTTTCAACAGGCCCTCAAACCTAATTACAGGCCGTGTAAAACAGCCGCAGACTTTCCTACTCGGCTTCCCTTTAAATGTAGTGTTGCAGTGCTTTCTGAGGTTCTGGGTCCCCGACGGTGTTGCCTTTAAGTTGGGGGTATTCTGCCAAAAAACAGATCCTTATTTGGGTGCCACCTTATGAGTAGTGCAGAAGCGGGCCGGAGCCGCGTGCACGCCGCCTTTCATAGTGGGGGATTACTGGTCCCAGGTGAACGGTATCTATCCCACCCCCACTCCGAGACCGCGCAGTACTGTTAAGATCACCCTCACAATGTGAAATGATAAGGAAAGGGTCTTAGTCGGGGGAAGCGATAACCGTGGGGTGAGCACATTCCCAGAAACCAATGCCCGTTTCTGGAGCTCGGCGGCGTAGCATGCCCGTAGCTCCAGCAAACGTTATCTTCGTGTCCGGCCAGGACTCGCTTCGTCCACCGCTGCCGAGGGCCCCTCTGATGTTCGACTTTCCGTATCTTCCGGCCGCAAGGAGGTGGAGCGCCGCAGGAAGGAGATGACGAGCCAGCTGCACTACTGCTGCGATTTGCTGACCCGGACGCTCAATGCCTCTGGGCGGGATTGATGCCGGATGCCGTATTGTTTACTCATGCGACTCATGCGTGCCTGCTGTCCTTGCGGTCATGAGATCCTCTGATTCTATTTACCTTCAAGGTACGGCTTTGGAAGTCCGTGGTGAGGGTGCCGGCCCCTTTGCAGCTCTTCTTCGCCGACAGCATCGCCAAAGTGAAGACCATCCGGGGCGTGCCCC